TGCTCTCTTTAGATCTCTGGTTTCTAGTCTGTCATCATTATTTTATTTGCTTGAAAAAGTTGACAGAGTGTTCCAGGCCTTCAAAACGTGGCCTGGTTGGACCTCTGTATTGAACTGTCATGTATTCAAGAAATAAAACGAGACAAAAAGTTGTATTAGAAAATTGTTCATGTTGAATTTTTTGTTAGAAGGATGTTATTGATATTAATAAAAAATATACTATTTTATAGAGAATTGAAAGAATTATCATTAAAATACTGAGAGATCCATTTTTCGTGAAAACTCAACAGAATGACAATGACATTAAGAACATTTCCAATGAATCTGACAGACAAATATGTCACTTATAATATTAGAATCAAGAAAGAAATTTGTGTTGATATCTTCTGCAGAATATCAATGAAATTGATTGTCTCTAAGTATTTTCAATATTCATTTTTTAATATTTATTTATCTGTTTTATCTTTTCTAAATGTTATTTTTAAAATTATGCTTCACTACATATGTTTACTAGTAACAGTTCAATTTATGAGATAAAATTTTAATATCAAAAAACAAACAAAAAAAAAATACACAGACAAATAGCTTGTCACTAATTCTATGATTTAATTTTCGCCAAATATTGAACTATGATACTTATAGATGTCACTTTATTTCGATATCTAATACAATGGAGAACTAAACATTTGCCTTTGAGCTTCATCATGTTTTACAGTTAATTTCGCTCGAAAGCTTTTATATGCAAAAAATTAAAAATTATTTTCCAATAAAACAATACATACAGCTGAATTTCGACTTTGTAATAATGGTTTAGTACATCGCAACAATAATCGATGATCACTATCCATCACATATGTTCTTTTATCTAATGAATCTTCATCTTCATTTATATTTTGTTCTGTTTCATCTTCATAAAAACTTTTCTTTTCATCTTCAAATATCTATAAATAAAATTACAAGCACAAAAACAAAATTTATTTTGCCGATTTTTTCTTTAAAAAACCTTATTGGGATCAACAAATTGTGAACGTGCATATCTTGTTAACATATTTAAAATTGTAACTTGTCCCCATTCATCAATATCAACCAAAAGATTACATAAACGTCGATAATTTTGATGTATTAAATCAATTCGCTCTGGACATACATGTTCAAATGCTTGTACAGCACTACCATTAACCAACTAAAGTAAAATAATAAGTTCAAAAAAAAAAAACGAACATTTTTTTTCTTTTTCTTACAATTGTTTTATCAGCAAGTAATTTAGCAATAATTAAAACAAGTTCATCTTTCAATTCAGGATCCAAACTAAATATTAAAAAAAAATAATATCAATAGAAAGAACAATGCAATTAAAATACGCATAAAGTTTTGCTATTGCATTAGCAGCTGTTTTTCGAACATAAGGTGACATATCACTAACACCATCACGAATAGCTAACATCATAATTGTTACAATTGTTGGAACACGAATACTAGATAATACACGTAATGCACTTGCACGAATTAATTGATTGGGATCCTAATATAGAGAAATGAAAAAGAAAAATCTTAGAGATTTTTTTTTTTTTTTCATTACTTTTAACGCTCGTTGAAATGTAGCAATTGAAAGTAAAGCAAGATCTTGTTGTTCTTCAGCATAACGCATTAAATAAACGTAAACTAATTTTTTAATTTCCATATTTTTTGAAACCACATTTTTAACAACAGCTGGAAATAGATCAGCAGCATCTTTACCTTTCGCAATCATCTAAATAATTGAATAAATAAAAAAACTTTTTTTTTGTTTTGTTTGATAAAGATTGTTGCTTTTTGTCTTACACCAATAATTCGACGCATAGCTTCTAATTTTAAATTATCTTTATTACTATCTAACATTTGTTTTAGATCTTCATGTCTAAAATAATACAAAATAAAATAATATTTAAAATTATATAAAAATGATTAACTTACTTTTTATAATCGAGTGCAAAAATACTTAATGTTGTGCTTGGCTCAGTTTGTTCATCAGATTGATTTGATGTTCCACGTGATCCCTGAGCATTTAATGTAGACATTGTTGTTAGTGATCGTTCATTAATATTCATGTTTAAGTTAGTTATGATTATTGTATTTCGACGAAATCGATCAGCAAAAAAAATGAAGTGAATCAATAAATCAATCAATAAATCAATCTACACTTGAAGAGACAGATAAACCAATGAAGAATAAGAACAAGAGAGATGTCAGTGATAAACAAATGCTCTGAAAAAAAATATTAAATACGAACATTATATGTGTACATATACATATGTACAAAGACAAGTTGAAACAAAAAAAGCAGAACGAGAATAGATGACATCCTTAGTGAAAATATTGAGTTTCAGAGCATTTAATGAATACTTGAGTATTGGAAAATGAGATGCATCTGATTGTTCAATTTAGTGTTCGTTATGAAGAGTCTACAATTGAGAGTAGGCATGTAAGCTGATGCATTAATCGTGAATGGTGTCAGCTGGATCGTCGGAGTATCAACTTCGGCAGCTTAAAATTTGTGATATCTCTTTTTAAAATTTCCTTGGTTTCGATAGATTTTGAAATAAAATCAGTATTAGGGAAATGTGCTTCAATCTATGTCAAACATCGTTTAACTCGAAGAGATTATCAGTCGACAAACCTTCAGATTGTCTATTCATGAGATCTCACATCAAGTCATTTTCTTTAAAAACTCTTTGATAAAAGCATCGAAATAATATTTGACTCTTTTTTCAAAGAGTTTTTAAAGGAAATAGCTTAATGTGTGATCTCATCATTGGAAAATTTGAAGGCTTCTTTGATTGATAATCTCTTCAAGTTAAACGACGGTTAGAGTGGATTGGAGTGAGCTGAAGCACACAGTGCACGGCAAACGTCTCACCTCACTTTTTTGTTTTGAGTTGAATATTAAAACTACCCAATATAATTAACATTTTTTTTATCCCTGGATAGTAGAGGATGAGTACTATCTATATACACATCTGTTTAATACGAAAAACTGTTGAATATAAAATACAATAAAAACAAACAAACTTCAATGCTAAGAAAAAAATGACATAAAAAACTTCAAAATGGTATTGTTATTTTAACTTTCAGTAGTTTGAGCAAGATGCGAGTAATTTAAAACTCGAGTGACATTCTTTCTTTGATATTTTTCCATGGTTCGATAGAGCTTGTCAAGCTCTACAAAATTATCTATATTAAAACTATTTAAACCATTTTTAGAGATAAAATTTAGAAAAACTCGCATTTTTAATGTCTTCTATACGCCAAATTGACAATTTTGTTCCATATAAAAAAAACCGAGTTTTTTGTACACTTTTTACATATTCTTTTGCAAATTTTATCTTTAAAAGAGGGTTTAAAATTTTTAAATATAGACACTTTTGTAGAGCTCGACGAGCTCTATCGAACCATGGAAAAATATGAAAGAAAGAATATTACTCGAGTTTTAAATTACTCGCACCTTACTCAAACTACTGAAATTTAAAACAACAATATCGTTTTATAGTTTTTATATCACTTTTTTCTTAGCATTGAAGTTTGTTTATTTTTATTGTATTTTATATTCAACGGTTTTTCGTATTAAACAGATGTGTATATAGATAGTACTCGATCTCTACTATCCAGGGATAAAAAAAATTTGGGTGTGGGTGTGGAATAAATTAAAAACATGATCCACACCCACACCATTACGTTTCTATTCTCTAGCATTCAACAAATTCCATGATAAACAATATACTAAGTCGTATCTTTGATTTCTGCAGAATGCAGTTTATTGAAAAACATTATTCATTTAATGATCAATTTTGTATTAAAAAATGTATGAAAAGAATGACAAGAATCAACGTAAAGAACTCGATTGTACAAACATTTGATTAATTTCTCTTTACATCTTGCTTAGCAACAATGCAACGTACAGTCTCAATGTAAAACACGAAGATAATAAGATCAGACAGAAAAAATTCATAATTTTAATGATTTCTGCACAGTTTCTTACCAACAGAAGAAATATATAAGGGTGAATCCGCCGGGTTTCTACCACTTTCGGGAAAAAGTTTTTTTTTTCGATTTTAATAGGCTAGTTAGATGGGGCGTCATCGAAAACGGTCTGAGGTAATAATTAAAACCTTTTTACTCATGAAAAGTATGGGGATCCAGGTGGTTTTTTAGGAACATCTCAAGGTCCATATATCGGGTGTCCAGTAAGTAACTATACAAAGAAAAAGTTGAATATCTCCATTACGGCTAAACCATACGGGCTCATTTTTTTACCAAGGATAGAGGCATGTTCACATT